ATATATGTGTATATATATATATATATATATATATATATATATACATATATACATATATATGGAGGAACACTAGTTGTACAGTGCTTAAGCACTCAACTGCTAATCAAAATACCAGTGGATCAAACCCACGGGCTCTCCATGGGACTTTAATGTAGCAGTCTGTTCCTGTAAATATTTACAGCCTTCAAAACCCTATGGACCTCAGGCAGTCTACTTTGTCCCATTGGGTTGCTCTAAATCAGAATTGAAACAATGGCAGTGGGTTTGATTGGGGGCGGGGCTTTATAAACATGATGAGTATAAATGATGAGGACCTCTAGTGTGGCACTGTAAGATCAGCACTAGACTGCAAACCACAAGTTTGAACAGCACTGTTGGGAGCGACTGAGCCAAAGGTCTCTGACTTGGGGGTGGTTTAACAAAAGGATTGCAACTGAACAGCTGTGGTCCAGAAACGCGGGCTGCACCCAAGTCTGGCTGCCCCTTGGGTTTTTGCAAAGCTAACCCTAGGAACAAGGAACTTGCAAAGTCTTTCCTAGTACACAGCTGTGACCTTTTGCTCAGTCTGCACAAACATTTAACTGTATCTAATTTATGTTTATTAGATACATTTAGCTGTATCTAATTTATGCGGAAATCATCAGACAATCTCTTTGATATCCCATGCGAGTAAAGTTTTGCTAAAGGTAATACAGAAACAACTACAATCATACATTGACAGAGAACTTCCAGAGGTTCAAGTTGGATTCAGAAGAGGCCACGGAATGAGAGAGATCATTGCTGATGCCCGCTGGATCTTGGCTGAAAGCAGAGAATATCAGAAGGATGTTTACCTGTGCTTTATTGACTACGCAAAGCTTTTCGATTGTGTGGATCATGACAAGCTATGGACAACATTGAGAAGTATGAGTATTCCAGAACACTTAATTGTGCTCATGAGGAATCTGTACCTGGACCAAGAGGCAATTGTTCAAACGGAATATGGGAACACTGAATGTTTTAAAATTAAAAAACGTGTGCAACAAGGTTGTATTCTTTCACCATACTTATTCAACCTCTGTGCTGAGGAAATAATCCAAGAAGCTGGATTCTATGAAGAAAAAATGTGGCATCAGGATTGGAGGAAGACTCATTAACAACCTGTGCATTCAGATGATACAACCTTGCTTACTGAAAGTGCAGAGGACTTAAAATATTTATTGATGAAGATCAAAAATCAAAGTCTTTGGTATGGATTACATCTCAATGTCAAAAAAACAAAAATCCTCACCACTGGACTAATAAACAACATTCTTATCAATGGAGAAAAGATTGAAGTTGTCAAGGACTTCATTCTTCTTGGATCAACTATCAACACTCATGGAAGCAGCAGTCAAGAAATCAAACAACATATTGCATTAAGGCAAATCTGCTGCACAAGACCTTTTTAAAGTGTTGAAGAGCAAAGATGTCAGCTTGAGGACTAAGGTGCACCTGACCCAAGCCATGGTATTTTCAATAACCTCATATGCATGCAAAAGCTGGACAGTGAATAAGGAAGACCACAGAAGAATTGATGCTTTTGAGTTATAGTGTTGGAGGAGAATATTGAAAGTACCATGGGCTACCAAAAGAACCAATAAATCCATTTTGGAAGAAGTTCAGCCAGAGTGCTCCTTGGAGGCCAAGATGGTCAAACTTTGTCTGTCATACTTTGGACATATTGTCAGGAGGGACCAGTCATTGGAGAAGGATATCATGTTTGCTAAGGTGGAGAGTCAGAACAAAAGAGGAAGACCCCCAACGAAATGGATTAGCCAAGTGGCAGCATCAATGGATTCAAGCGTGGCAGCAGTAGTGAGGTTGGCCCGGGTTCAGGCAGTGTTTCGTTCTGCTGTGCATAATGTTGCTATGGGTCGGCACTGACTCGATGGCACCTAACAACAACAACAAGGTACAGCTATTGGTCTCTCCATGTGCAGAGGAAAGCAGAGTGATGAGAACTGAAGATGCTTAAAACCAATTAGTGCAAAGGACTGATGGAACATGTGAACATCAATCTCCATGAATCTGAGACCAGAAGAACTAGATGGTCCCCAGCTACCACTCCCAACTACTCTAAAAGGGATCACAGTAGAAGGTCCCAGACAGAGCAGCAGAATATGTGGAAAGAAACTAAAAAAAAAATTTTTTTTTTAAAGACTGGGCTTACTGGTCAGAGAGAAACTAGAAGAATCTTGAGACTATGATCCTCAACCACCCTCTAGTCTGGAAAGGAACCCATCATCATGGCCCAACTTCCAGCCAAGCAGTAAGTAGGTATATGTTATTGTTGTTAAGTGCCGTCAAGTCAGGTTCTGACCCATAGCGACCTTATATAGGGTTTCCGAGGAGCAGCTGGTGAGCTTGAACTGCCAACCTTGCAGTTCAAACAGCTTTGCAGTCTGGCGCATTAACTCACAGCGCCACACCAGAACTCCAAGTAGGTATATAGGGAGAACAAAAATATAGGTATGCTCACTATGAATGATGGAATGGCCAATTATTCAAAATCAAAGTGGCAACATGTACCTTGGGACAAAGGTGGGAAGGGATGGGAAGATGGATGGAATGGAGATGGGAGCCACAGAGAGGAAGCAGGGTAACTGTTGTTCCATGGAGGGGAATGCTGTCATTGAGAGGAAACAAAGGGTATGATTTGGTGAATGTAAATTTGATGGTCTTGTCTGTACACCTTCACTCATTTCACAATAAAAAGTTTA